AGATTGTTGAAGGGAGATGGAGATTCAGTCATGGCTGTGGGAAAAGCAATTGGGGGACTGTATATAATAGAGGGGCATAGTACCTATGTTAGTGCTGTTAATAGGAGTTTGATCAATCAGAAAGAATTGGCTCTATGGCATAAAAGAATGGGACACAGCTCAATAAATTGCTTGAGGCACTTTAGTTTCATAAACAATGACAGCTGCAAATTAGACCTGGACATTTGTGATGTATGCCACAGGTCAAAACAGTGCAGGCTTCCCTTTCCTCTTAGTCACATACAAAGTAAAGAAAAACTGGAACTTATCCATATGGATGTATGGGGGCCACATCATGAAGAGTCCATGACAAATACCTCCTACATGCTCACCATAGTTGATGATTATACCAGAGCCACCTGGATTTACCTGATGAGATATAAGGCAGAAACAGTCATTAATGTTAGGGATTTTCTGAGAATGGTGGAAGTTCAGTTTGGAGTTAAAGTTAACCAGATAAGAACAGATAATGGGGGAGAGTTTGTTAATAAAGAAATGGAAATGTTGTTGAAGGATAACGGAATAATACACCAAAGGACCTGTCCTTATACTCCACAACAAAATGGTGTTGTGGAGAGAAAACACAGGTCCATTCTTGAGGTGGCAAGATCATTGGCTTTCCAGTGCAAACTGCAAAGAAATCTTTGGCCTTATAGTTTGTTAGTAGCAGTACAAATCATCAACACATTACCAAGTGAGAAGCTGAAGTGGAAATCTCCTTATGAGCTCTTGCATGGCAGTGAACCAGCATATGGAATGTTTAAGGTGTTTGGTTGCTTGTGTTATGCAAGTAGGCTTGGTCCCAACAGGAAGAAATTTAATGAGAGGGCCATGCCTTGTGTGTTTCTGGGATACATCTCAGGGACAAAGGGGTACAGATTGTATAGTTTGGAATCTAAGGAAGTGTTTGTTTCCAGAGATGTTATATTCTATGAAGAAAGGTTTCCTTTCATAGATAAAAAATCTTTGACCCCAGAACAAGAACCACTGGAGCCAGTTGTTGATGATTTCATTACATGTGAGCCTGAACCACATGTGTTGAACAATGAAAGGCATGACCCACCTGCTGAAGAAAATGTTGCAGTAAGAAGAAGTTGTAGGGTCAGGCATCCACCTGCTTGGTTATCTGACTATGAAATGAGTTTACAAAGTGATGAAGAAACAAATCTATTTTTTCTGAAATAGATAAGACAGCCTCGGAGCCAACTTATTATGAGCAGGCCATTGGTGACAATAGATGGATTGATGCAATGCATAAGGAACTGCAGGCTTTGGAATCTAACAACACTTTGATTCTTACCAAGTTACCAACAGGGAACAAAGCCATTGGATCTAAATGGGTATATAAAATTAAAAGGAATCCAAATGGCACAATTGATAAGTTCAAGGCAAGATTGGTGGCAAAGGGTTTCTTGCAAAGGGAAGGGATAGATTTTGTGGACAGTTTCTCACCTGTTGCAAAGCTTGTTTCAGTCAGGCTGCTCATAGCATTGGCCACACAACAGAAATGGCAGCTGCACCATATTGATATCAATAATGCCTTTTTGCATGGATTCCTTGATGAGGAAGTATATATGTTACCTCTTAAGGGATATGATAAGGCTAAGAAGGGGGAGGTTTGCTTACTTAAGAGAAGCTTGTATGGGCTCAAACAAGCATCTAGACAGTGGAACATTGAGTTTTCTGATAAGCTCATTGCATATGGTTTTAAACAGTCACCACATGATCATTGCCTTTTCTTCAAACATTCAAGTCATGGATTGCTTGCCCTTCTGATTTATGTGGATGATGTGCTCATTACAGGGAAATCTTTGGAGGATATTGAGAATCTTAAGTCTTATCTTCATGATCTGTTTACTATAAAGGACTTGGGACAGGCAAAGTACTTTCTTGGACTTGAAATTCATAGAACAGGTGCAGGCACTTACCTTAGTCAAAGGAAGTATATCATGGACATTGTGCATGATCTTGGGCTGGAGAATTCTAAGCCTACCACCACACCTTTGCCACAAGGGTTGAATTTATCTTCATTGCAGTCACCACCACTTGATAATCCACAGAAGTTTAGAAGATTAGTTGGGAGACTTCTTTATTTGAACCTATCCAGAGCTGATGTTTCTTATGCCATCCAACAACTTAGCCAGTTTGTCCATTCTCCTTCCCAAAGACATTGGACTGCAGGTATGCACTTGCTCAGATATTTGAAGGGAACACCAACACTGGGACTTTTCTATGCAGACAAGACTTCTATGCAGTTGGAAGCATTTTGTGATGCAGACTGTGGGGGATGTGCTATCACTCGACGGTCATTGACAGGTTATTGTATTTTCTTGGGGCAAGCATTGATCTCTTGGAAAACTAAAAAGCAAAGGACTGTGTCAAGATCATCCTCTGAAGCGGAGTACAGATGCATGGCTTCAACAGTTTGTGAATTGCAGTGGCTCACTTACTTGGCAAATGATCTCAGGTTGCCCTTTTCTACTCCTATCTCTCTTTGGTGTGATAACAAGGCAGCTTTACATATCTCTGCCAACCCAGTTTTCCATGAACGAACGAAGAATTTGGACATTGATTGTCATGTTGTTCGTGATCAATATAAAGACGGTCTCATTTTACCTCAGCACATCTCCTCTTCCCTTCAACCGGCTGATGTGTTCACAAAATCCCTTGGTGGTGCTGACTTTTCTCGGTTCATTTGCAAGCTTCGAATGCGGTTGCCTCCCCCCATTCCTGCTTGAGGGGGGGGTGTTGGAATTATGGAGCTTAATGTGATTGATCGTGCATGGTTTATGTTCATGCAGAGTGTTTTAGCATTTTATCTGTCATTACTCCTTTTATTTGAAGTCGCGCTACACTTACTAAGTCGCACTTCTTTTCCGTTGTTACTTTCTTCTTGTCACGTGTTTTAGTTATTGGCACATGTGTTATCTTTCTATTAGCTTCTCTGTTCCCCACGTGATATAAGTGTGTTAGCTGGGGGTTTTCTACTGTAATTTTGTATTGAACATTTACAGAGCTCCAAGCTCAACTTTAATGGTGATCTAGGTTTTGTATATTTTGTTGGTGATTTCAACGATTATTTGAAATATTAACTCAAGCTTACATATATATGCATACAAAACATGTGTATGTAAATGCAAGATACAGTTTATAATCACTGAATGTAATTTACAGTATAATTTTTTTACTATTTTACAAAAGGGGAGTGTACAGTCATGAGACTTATCTTTACCCCTTTTGGTAGTGTCGAGAGCTCACAGCAGAGCTTTGGAGCTTTTAAAAAGCAGATCTTTTTTCTGTAAAGCTAGTGATTTTTTATTCACTCACCCATTGTTAATTTGCCTGCCCTTTGTCCTTTTTTCTCAGCTACATGTGTGTGCTCATTAAAGGTCTTCATTTTTCAACCTTACACACATTTCTTTTGCAGCATCTTTATCAAAAAGTTATAAAAGGTTTGCAATTTTGATGTCTACCCATTACAATTTAAAGAGATTTCCTAATATAGATGCAAGGTTTGACATCAATTTTAAAAGGGAAAATAATGGTGAAAATTGTTTACTTTGATTATTTTAATTCTTTATGGGCTGCTGCCGAGTGACAAAAGTCCTTGGCTTTCTGGTTAAACTTGTAGAATTTACGGGTCATGTGAGGAAGTTGGCTTCGAAAGTCGAGGTTAACAAAAAAATCTAGTATTTTATTCGAATTCGTGCTCTGAGTTTTTCAACTTTCAGAATCTTGAAAGCTTTCTTTTCACAAGTTTACCATTTTTGACTCGAAAGTTTCTCTATTTTTATCTGCCCTTTTGCCTTTGTGCGTTTTTTATGCGACCTGTGAGATGTTTGAATGCCTTTCTAGCTGAAAAGTCCATGCTCGGACGGTTGATTTCTCTGGGTCTTTTGAAAAAAAAAAAAACTCCAAGATTCTACACTTGATCGAATTATTTCAGATTTGAAGGCTTCCAAATCTAGCCATGGCGTAGAAGCTTCATCGTCGGTAAAAGAAATATCTTCCTCCTAGCAAAAAAAATGGAGAATAACGAGGCAGATAACTGGAGGGATATGGTCACGAAGATGCTCCCACCAGGTGCCCCTATCCCGGACGACGACAAAATGGACTAGCCCTCGAGTACAATGGGCCTCCGGTACCTTACGACAACATCCCACAGGCCGAGCCCCTCGACTTGAACCCGGCCCAATCCCAACTGCCGACCCTCTTTCAGAGTCCAGACGATCCGTGGCCCGCGACTCGGCCCCTGTGATCGAGCCTATCCCCCTCCCTAGAAGAAGACTGTCCCGGAGCACCGAGTCAGTTGTGTTCGTTTTGCAGAACGATGATTTCTCTTCACGATCGGGCTTGGGCTGGGGCTCGCCGGGCTCAGTCCACAGCTGGCAAGACGGGCCACTCCCTCCAAACGAGGCAAGGCGGCCTATGGTGGTGACTTTCAACACGGCTGATTGGTCTGAACGGCAATTGGCCGATAGGGAAAAGCAGGTTTTCCCCGAATTTGTGGTGGGCTTAGCCAAGGAGAAGAAGAAGAAGAAGAAAAAGAGGAAAAAGGCGAGGGTTTGCTATAGGTGCGGGAAAGGGAAGTGGGAGATTAAAGAAATATTGCAGCAACTGTGTGCTCCGGGCCATGGGCTCGATGCCCGAAGGACGTAAGTGCGTGACGTGTATAGGGGAGTCAATTGACGAGGTGAAAAGGTGCAGATTGGATAAGAACTCGAGGATTTTGTCTCGTTTGCTCAGCCCATTAGAGGTTAAGCATATCATGAAGGCCGAGAAGGAGTGTGGGGCCAATCAGCTCCGGCCGGAGCAGTTGATTGTGAACGGGTATCCTTTGAAGACGGAGGAGATGGCGGAGCTTTTCGGGTGCCCTTTGCCGCCTAGGAAGTTGAAGTCGAGCACGTATTGGTATGATAAGGAATCAGGTCTTTGTGGAAAGGTAAAAATAACAGATTTTTTGTATACTCAATTTTTTTTTTCATTTATTGTTTTTTAAATAAGTGAGGGAAAATGTGGTCATTCAGTTTGTGGTGTGTTCAATTTGACAGGAGGGAGAGAAGCCTGATAGAATTATTAGTTCGAATTTGAATTTTACGGGTAAACTAAGCCCGAGCGCGAGCAATGGGAATACTGAGGTGTACATGAATGGTCGAGAAATTACGAAGCATGAGCTGAGAATACTTAAGGTTGGTAAATCTGGGAATTTACCAAGTCTGACTGTGTTTTGTCAATTGTTTTATGTTGATGCAACAAAAAACCTGGAGAAATGGGGGTGCTTTACACTAATGTAAAGCTGTAGCTCTTTGCTGAAGCATCTTTTATCTATTTAACTTTGTTAGAGTGACTGCTGTGGCAATATTGTTTTTCGATAAAGACTGAAAAGCTTGCTTATATATACTTCAATTGAGATTGGCACGGTGATTTAATTTAGAAATTTGTTGTCAAGTATTTGAATCAAATGCTCATCAGTTTGTTGATTTCTATATTATGTTAACCCAAAGCTCAAGTATAGAATAGTCTAAATAATTGTTAGGTATATAGGAAATTCAATCAATCAATGCTTGTATTCAGCTTGCAAATGTACAATGCCCTCGTGATACCCATTTTTGGGTGTATGATGACGGTCTATATGAAGAGGAAGGCCAAAATAATATCAGAGGAAATATCTGGGAAAATGTTAGATTTCAAGAGAAAAAATATGATTATCTTAAATAAATTACAACTGTAGAGGCATTTTTTTCAGTGGAATCATGTTTAGCGACATCTCAAATCTTATCACTTTAGGCATCAACTCGGTTCGTGTGTTCCTTGTTCTATCTGCCTGTTCCTCAAGGTCAGCCTCATGGGCTAAAGGATGAGCCTAGCAACTACACGACTGTACCGAGTTATTTTGAGCCGAAAAAAAAGTTTCAGAAGCTTCTTCTTTTTGGACTGCAAGGCTCTGGTACCAGCACCATTTTCAAGCAGGTAGTTTTAATTGAGTTTCAAAAAGGGTGATGTTATATACAGCTACTAAGCAGTCAAAGCTGTCAATATTCCTGTGCTCACATTAATCAGAAGAAAAAATATGTTAAGAAAATGTTATAATTGTTTACTCCATTTCTTATCCTTAATCAATTTCTCGGTTCCCTGCTCTTTTTTTTTTTTTTTTCCTCCTCTCACTGAACAGGCCAAGTTTTTGTACGGGAGCAAGTTTACCCCTGAGGAACGACAGGATATGAAACTCATGATCTAGAGCAATATGTACAAGTATCTCAGCATCCTGCTTGATGCTCGAGAACGTTTTGAGGAGGAAGATTTATTAGAGAGAAGAAGGCAAGCTTCTGACGATGAGTCTGCTGAAGCAGGTATCATATCAAACAAAGAACTCTTGGAAAAGTATGTCTTAGGTTATCTCAGTAATAGGTTTTCAATAAATGATGAAACTTTGGTTTTTTGCTGCCATAAGAGTTTGCTTTTCTACCTTTTTTTCTTTTCTTTTCTATTTGGGTATTTGAATACGGTCTTTGTATTATTGCTGTATGAAGCGAAAAATATGACAAAAACTTGATTTTTTTATGGTTCAGTAACTATTGTTAGTACTGTTATTAAAAAAAATTCATTTTGTACTGCTTTCACTTCATTTCGTGATTTGGTTTCTTTAAGTTTTTGCAGAGGTAAATAACCAATGCATTTATTCTCTCAACCCAAGATTGAAGCACTTTTCTGACTGGCTGCTCGACATAATTGCCACTGGGGATTTGGATGCATTTTTCCCAGCCGCAACACGCGAATATGCCCCGCTTGTTGAGGAAGTATGGAAAGATCCTGCTATTCAGGAGACTTATAAGAGAAAGAATGAACTCCACTTTCTTCCAGACGTAACCGAGTACTTCTTGAGCAGGGTATATTCTTCATCACTTTAAAGCTGAGTGTTTTAGTGTAATTGAGAGATAGAGAGAGAGAGGGCTTGTGTGATATTGCTTCTGCGTTCTCTTCGAATAATATATTATCTGGTCTTCTTGAAAGCTTAATCAAATTCGATTCAGTTACCAAATCTTTTTTTTTTTTGGGTCTCACAGGCAGTTGAAATATCGAGCAACGAGTATGAACCTTCAGACAAAGATATATTGTTTGCTGAAGGGGTGACTCAAGGTAATGGGCTGGCTTTTATGGAGTTCTCATTGGACGATTGAAGCCCAATGTTAGAAACTTACACAAAAAATATGGAATCTGGGCCTCCACCTCTCACCAAGTAAGTTTTCCTTGCCAGGAAGAAATATTGTCGGCTCCAAAGGAAAAATTTCAACTCTTGAAATTGGATATGGATATTATGGTTTAGTTTAGTTTGTTCTAAAATAAAAATAAAAATAAAAAATTGTTCATTTCACAAATAAGGTACCAGCTGATCCGAGTCAACGCCAAGGGCATGAACGAGGGTTGCAAGTGGGTCGAGATGTTCGAGGATGTTCGTGTGGTCGTCTTCTGCGTGGCCCTCAGCGATTATGATCAGGTGTGGGTGTCTTCAGACGCTTCCCGTGAGCCCCACCTCACGAACCGTATGATTCAAAGCAGGGACTTCTTCGAGTCCATGGTCAAGCACCCATGCTTTAAGGACACCCCATTTGTCCTCGTCCTCAACAAGTATGATTTGTTCGAGGAAAAAGTCAACCGGGCCCCGCTCGGAAAATGTCATTGGTTCAGTGACTTCAGCCCGGTCAGGCCCCACAACAACACACAGTCCCTGGCCCAACAGGCCTACTTTTACGTGGCCATGCGGTTTAAGGACCTTTACGCTTCCTTAACTAGCCGGAAGCTTTTCGTCTGGCAGACACGGGCCCGAGAGAGGCCCACAGTGGACGAGGCCTTCAAATACATACGAGAGGTCGTGAGGTGGGACGAGAAGAAGGAGGATATGTACTATGCAGCCGGAGGGGAGGACTCGTTTTACAGCACAACTGACGTGAGCACGTCCCCATTTGCCCGCCAAGAGTGAAGAAAAAAAATCAGGAGGGCATAAGTGTAATCATCGGTCGCTGTCTGTTGTACATAGGTGGGCGATAGTATGATCTTTTTTGTTTTATTATTTATTGGTCGAGCTTCGATTTCTGGGTATGGAAATGGGAAAAAAAAGTGTTTTTTTTAAATGGTCTCTGTTGAGAGGTGAAATTAAGAAATGTGACATGGTAGTATGGCTCTTAACATTATTTTTACAAGTTAAAGTGACCAACAATTCATATTTTAGTGATCATCATAAGGTAATAACCAAAACAAAGAGCATATTAATGATCATAGCCATATTATTTCTTCATGTGAGCACATGATCTTGATCCAAATCTTGTTCCCTACCACATGTGATGCTAAACCAGATCCTTTTGTTCAGCTAAGCTTCCACATTGTTGAGAATCTTGGCAAGACAACCCAAGTCAACTAGACAACACCTAATGTGCACATGAGAAATTTAACAACCATTTGCATATAATTTCTACCATTTTGTCTTGGTTATTCATGAGATACTTTAAGTATCATTCCTTAGCTGAGAATAGCCTTTGAATACTTAGAAAACATTAGCAAAGAGAGAGAAAAACCGAGTTCAAGTAAGAGAGGGAGAGAAGGAGAAGAACCGAGCAACACTTCTTTCATTTCTTCTCATCATTTTCATTTTCTTGAAGGACGTAAGGTGCCTCTGTTATGACATTAAGTAATTGTTTTCTGAAAATGTGTTCTTCATATAAATTGTAGTTCATCTTGTTATATTTCTCTAGGCTCTGGAATTTCGATAATCCGATTAATATTGTTTGAGTTATGATTTTTACAAATTTATCATACAA